TGGCGGAGAGTTGGAGTCACCCCCCCGGCCCCCCCACCCCACCCAGGACAAAACCTGCAGGTTCCAGACATAAGCTGCCCGGGGGCACCAGGCAGCCTTCGCCCAGCAGGCGCCTTGGGCCTCGGACGCTCTCCCCTGCTCTCCCCAAGCTGCAAGGCCCTTCCTGGCACACTAAGGGTGCCATCGGCCTTCTACATGCTGTGGTGGGGGCACACAGGGGTGCTGGGACCTAGCGATACCCAGGGCTGGTCCTGCTGCAGAGCAGACAGGGTCACTTGCTGTGCCCATGCCCAGGAGGCCAAGGAGTGGAAGGTGAAGATCCCCGTTGTTGTGAGCCTCAGTTGTCTCCCTGAGTAAATAAACTTTTCATTTTCACACTGGCTGCTCTAAGTGGCTTCCCCACGTGGCTGCCTGCTGGGAGCTGGGCCCACTGATGGAAGGACAGTGCAGTGGGGGTGTACGCCCATCTCCATGCTTGTCCCCACCAGGCACAGGACTGCAGAGAGCCGCACGCTCCCAGTCACCCAGCGGGGCGGAGGGTGCGTGTGTAGCATGGCTGCGGTGAGGCTGAGACACATGTAGGGGTTACAGCCCCGTGCCCTGGGAGCTGCCCCTGTTGCTGGGCTCAGCATCCCTTGACAAACAGGAGCACAGCCGGGTTGAGAGACGTGTTTATTGGGGGTGGAAGTGGAGGGTGCTGAAGAACAGGACCAAAAGCTGCCAGAGTCCAGCTCACTGGAAAGAGAAGCTGGTGCTCGGGAGCCCCCCACACCACTGGCTGAGGAATTTGAGCACGTCTTGGCACGCAGGGCTGTGGGATGTCTGCAGAACGAAAGAGGCCTTGGCACTGGCAAGAGGGCACCCTGGGAGCTGACAGCGCTGCACAGGCAGGGCTGGCTCTGCCCCGGCTCCGAGGTTAATCCCCACCCAGCAGCACACAGGGAGGGTGCACTAAAGCCGCCCTGGTTCAGCCGCTCTCCACCCAGCGGGACAATGTTTTATTGTCAGCATGAAGGGCTGAACACCCCACAGCCTGACTCCCTGCCCCACAGGGTGCCTGGCTTACCTTGACAGCCATCAGGAACTTGTTCCATGTGTCCTTGTTGGCTTCTCGGCCTGGCCGCTTGAACTCTATCTTGTTCCTTAGCACAGGGTACCCTGGTCACACAGTGACACCTTCAGAAACAAGCAGAGACCCACAGCAGCCCCCCTCCCACCTCGTGCACCCCTTCCCTCTCTGCCACGGCCAGTGGGCTCGGGCTGCTCCCACAGGGAAATGCAGGGGAACGACGGCACCTCTGGCATTTAGAGCCCAGCATGAGGAAGGGGGTGCCCACAGTGGCGGGATCAAAGGCCGATGAAGGCTGAGCTGCCCTCGGGCAAGGACACCCGAGCAAGTATGTCAAATGATAGGGCCTGAGCTTTGGAGCCAGCGTCCTGTTGCTGGTGGCCCACCCCTGCCCCCCCTTCTCCGACCCACTCCAAGTCCCGCACCACAAGCCCTCGCCGTCTGACGTGTGCAAGCGGGGGGACAGTGCTTGCCAGGACAGACAGCGTTTGTAGAGGGGGGGCAAAGCAGGGCCAGGTGCTGCCTGTGGGGCAGGCTCCTAGGCAGTGCTGTGTGAGACTGAGCAGGCATGGAATCGTAGACACATGGAGTGGCTGAGGTTGGAAGGGCCCTCTGGGGTCTGTATGGGCCAACCCCACACTGCTCGAGCGGGGCCACCCACAGCCGGTTGCCCAGGACCTCATCCCAATGGCTTCTGACTATCTCCAAGTATGGAGATGCCACAACCTCGGTGCAATCCAGTGCTCAATCCTTCCATCTGCTCCAGCAGCGCTGGTCCCCACAGCCACACAGTTGCCCCACTCTTACAGCATCACCCGAGAGCTCCCTCCCAGACCCGCCCTGCAACGTTCCCACTCCCTGCACGGCACCGCGCACGCCCTGGCGTGTGTGTGAGCGGACCTGGCACTCACCTGTAAGCACACAGGGCAGGGCACGCACCCCTGTATTTGCTGCCACCAGTGAGGCTTCATAGGTGTCACGCTCGTCCTGTGGCAGCACCTGCTCCAGTCGCTGGTCCATGGACATGGTGAGCACCCAGTCCCGGACCTCCTCCCGCTTCTCCTCCTGAAGGGCAGAGGCCAGTGCACCCGATATCGCACGCTGTACGTGGGGGGGGTGTATATGCACGCAGGATGTGCGCACACGTGCGTACGTGGGGGGTGTGTATATGCACGCATGCACGATCACGTGTATGGGGGGGCATGAGATAAGATGTGCACTGGGGCTACACCTGTGTTTGTGGGGGGGGACAGGGCAGTGCTGAGTACATTTCCCTCTGCGGTGCCTGCTGTCCCACCCTTGTCCCAGTCCCTGTTCGGAGCGGGCCCTGAAGCAGCATCACTGTTCACGGGAGCCGAGGGAGGCAGCGGACACTCACCGGCACGTGCTGTTGGGCTGGAAGTGGCACTTCAAAGGGAACGTCTGTGCTCTGGAAATCAGAGTGGTCCAGAGAATCTAGGTTCCCCTCTTCAATGGCCTGGGAAAGAAGACGTGGTGGAGCACTGGCTGCGCCAGCCCTAGAGCTGATGGTACCATCTACGGTTGTGAGGAGAGCACTGCTGATGCCCCTGTTAGCGCTCTGGTGATGGGGCCCTCCTGGGAGGTGGCATTTAGGGCCATCCTCAGCAGTGTCAGAGGATGTGTGCTCCTGAAACACCGTACGACTCAACCTTGTCAGATGGCCCCAAAGAAGGGAAAGATGAAATGGAGAGCTTTTTTCCCCCAGGAGCTGCTGAGAGCACTGGCAACACTGGTACAGTAAGGGCTGTCAGCATCCTAAGGTTGGTGTTTTCTGTTGCCCAACCTGCTAGTCAAGGACGGCGTTGCCTGGCGTGGGGGACTCGTGGGTCTTGTGTCACAGTGGCTAAAGCACTGGGCCATGCCCTCCGCCCCTCAGGTAATTTTCCTTCCCTTGGAACAACTCTCATGAGATCATCCTGAACGCTGTAGCGGCACTCGCAGCCATGAAGACTGCAGGCCTAAACCATCAGGCAAACTCACTCTTTGCTGCAGCACGCACGGATGGTGGCATTGGCACACACGTGGTGACACGGCCAGGGCTGCTCAGGCGCCCTGCATGGGCAGGTCCTTCTGCAGGAAGTGTTGGGGTACCCAGTGCTGCATGTGCACCCCCCCACCCCCCCAGCAGCATTCTCCGTC